GTGTGAGTCTTATAATATTCAAGTCGATCCCATCTGATATAAATTCGTTCGTTCGTTGTTATTGTCTTCTGGGCGCAGGCCTCGTGAAGCGACGAACACTCTCTCAGCTATAATGGAAGAACAGCGTGTATAACAATGAATTTTTCTTGAAAACAATACCACCAACGCCGTAATAATCAATCTTATGCATTTGAAGCAGAGAGAAAATCTCGAACACTTTGAGTTGAATCAAAATCCACGAATTGAATTACACGTACTCCACAAATCTTCCACTAATCCACAGTGTAGATTCCACACAAAGAAAATCAGATCGGCAGTTCACTTTGCTCTGTATGCACGCCCCGCGAAAAATATGCGCTTTAGACGCAAACGCTTCAATTTTTCTCGTTATATTCGAAATGGCATTGTGAATGAGAAATGTAGAAAATGCACACGATGCTCAAATGGGAGTGTAAGTTTTTGGAGAAATGCAACAACAGGGTATTTAAATGATAATTGATGTTCGTGATTGTGCTAATCCACTGAAGATGCATGTGAAAATGGATGAGCCGAAGAAAGTAGCGAACTGGATTTGATGTTAAATAATTGATAGCGTTAGAGACACCCTGTGACTTAATTTGAATCGTCTGCAGCACATATATAAATCAAACCGAAAAAGAGGGAGCGAGAGACACTTCCGTGCGAGTTAGCAAAATGACTTATTAAGCCTTGACATGCCAATAAAAATTGAAATACCACGCCGAACAGGCCCAATAACAAAGACATAATTTCGAGTAGTTAATTATCATTTTGAAGCGTCTGCTTAAGTATGTGCAAATCACTGCCTCAATTCTTCCAGCTAACAAATATGCAAAAAGGCGCAGCAATAGTTATTTTGTTATTTTTTCTTGTTTTTTGCTCGAGTTTCCTCCTGCGGAGAAAATTGCCATACTTTATAAGAAAACAAAAAATTATGAATATCAACTATTAATTAAATAGGTAAAACTATGCTTTAATAGCAATTATTTCTTGTTGCACTTGCTGCTGTGGTATGAAAAGAGAGAGAGAGAGAGAAAAAACTATTGTTACATTTTAATAAAAATGGATTTGTTCAGCGCCGCATTTTTTTTTCATGCCATTTTCCATTTAATTGGGGCAAAATTGCTATTTTTCAACCGAAACAATGGTGTTTGTACCGTTCTTCCTTCCACATACTACTTGCTCACTTGGTCAAGTGACCACACAAATGCATATGTTCAGCCACTGAACTTAACAACAAAAAGAAGAAAAAAAATCGTTGCATTTCCGTCTTTCGCTCTGCATATCTAATTAAATTCAAAAATGAATGCACATGGAATCCGAAGTGATTTTTATGTTCGCCTTTTGGAATGCCAATTTTAATGCCGGTTTTTTTTTGTGTTCGTATAAACTTGAACACTGCCTAGTTTTTGATTAAATACGCTATAATTGACGGTGGTTGTAGTGGTGCACTGCTGCATCGAAAGAAATGCAAAAAGAATCGTGAAAAGTCAAAAAGAAACGATTTTCTTTTTCGTTTTTTTTTTTTACAATTATGATAAAGGCATTTTGGCGTTTGGGGCAATTTTGACGTCGGAAAGAAATGATTTTCGTGCAGCTCATTCGCGTATAAATTGAATTGAACACTGAAACGGATATCACGAATTGTCTGCACTCCATTACACACTCTAATTAAATTAAGGTAATTCGATTGGAGTTTGGTCGAAAATTTTCGCTAGCGGGGTACATTGTTCCTCGCCGAAAATGAGCCGTTGTGTCGAACTGAATGACACTTGCGGAAATCAACGCAACGATGCCTTTATGCCGTTCACGTTGCCTTTGTTCCGCTGTGAGAATATGTACCCATAAATAATGGCAAGTGTGTTGTGTCATTTTGTTATATCTCATAAATTTGATTTTTAACGGCAGCAAACAAGCTGCAGTTTTACTTTCTTCCATCAATCGCTATTGTATCACCGTTTTTCTATGTGTCTGTCGGTAAGACGCCCGACATGCAGAAATTTAGCAAAAAAAAACTAACACAAAATTATGGAAAAAGTTATACAAAAAACAGAAATTATGCGAAGAAAAAAGCGCATTTTCCACCGTTCTTTGAATGCATCCGAAGTGTTGGCATCGTAATCGACGTAATCAACCACATCGTCGGCTTCAGCCGATGCAGAAGAATAACAAAATGTAGCAAATGAGAGAAAACTGTATTTGGGATTATATAAATGCGTATAGAATCCAGATTCGCTTTATCAGCAACGGTAAAAATACGACCAAAATGCTGAATAATGGGAAACAATTGCGTCAATGAGAAAAATTTCTTCTCCAAGCTCTTCCTTCTCGTTATGAAAAAGCCAGCCATTCAAAAGAAATGCCATTGTAATTCCAAGGCAGACAAATCTGACTGCATACATCATTTTCCATTGCTTAGATCATTTTTTTTTATTCTTCTCCTAATCTAACGCACAATGCAACAAAGACGAGTGGTGTGGTGTTGAATATTCATTATTTTTTGCTGAATAATCCATATATGCTCAGAAGCATGGGCAATTGGGCATTGATCGTAAGAATTTGCGAGTTAAGCTTAAAGGCCAATATCAAATTATGAAAATGTAACCTCATGTTTGGTGTCTATGTTCAACATTGTTGAATATTCCCCCCAAATTGAAAAGGAGTTGATATTCCATTGAAAACTTCCTTCTTCAAACATTTTGAAATCGAATCGAAGTGAAGCTCTTCACATAAAAAACCATAAGAGTTTAAGCTAATTTTCATATGGCCCATTCAAATTCAATTCGTATCAAAGCAAAATTGCGATTTCTTATTGTTGATTTCAATCATGCAAATCGAAAGGTCACATGAAATCCGCAATGCTGTCACAAAAATAGCCGCGCGTCGCTTTTGTGCGGTTTCAATTCAACAAAATGTGTTTGTTATTCGAACGAATACAATTTCGTCTGGTTGAATTTCTCTACATGTACAAAAAAATAACCATTTCATCATATCTGGATCAAATTGTACGCAGAGAGCAAATACTTCGACCGAACCGAAAATAAATAGTAACCATTTAACCGTAAATTCACTTTCGTTCGAATAAAATGAAAGAAAAAAAAGTGGCGTGCTCAAGTTTGGCCGAATAATGTTTATTCTGTCTGGTAAATCAAGTGATACACTATTGGAGTACAACGCACAAAACCAAACTTTCTCGCGTTTTTTCTTTGATTCGCTACTGTATGGCCATATTTATTTTTGAATGATACCCGCGGCTAAGGAAAAAAACAAAACACTTTGCTTCTGATTGCTATACATTTTACTTTTCTTCCTCCATTCCATTGGCCAGTACGTTCACACTCGTCGAATTTATAATTTTCACTTTTCAATTCGACTCTCCGCTTTGCTCTGGTCTGTTTTACCTTTGATTCCATTCCGGAACATTTGAACTTTCCAAAGAACATCAATTACAAAATGGTAAGATCTAGGGACCACAAGAAAACCGCAGAATATCAATTTCTTTGGATAATATTGCTAGAAGTGGGTTTTAAATGAAGAGGCTATCAAATGAATAATTAAAAAGTTCCTCTTCGGCAACATTGAAAAAAAAATCTAAATTTCATGGTTCCGATTGAAAAATTATGAATCTTGACCCGTTTTGGCTAATAGCATTAAACCTGCTCGTAATTAAAATTGAAATTTAATAAACACTTTTGACAATATAAACATTCGGCTTAACAACCATCACTGATGCTCTACTGAAACGACGCAGGATGATATCAACATATCAATAGTCAATAAAAATCCAATAAAATTGAATCGACATAAATTTGTTTTCACGCGTTTCAATCCATTTGCATGGCTAATATAATGATTAGACCTTGTTCGAGTTTACTTTCCTTGGCAAAAGCTGTTGCTTCTTCTCGAGTTTCGATTCATTTTCAATTTCTTTGAAATATCAAAACGAATTATTATTGAATTCATCATTGGCTGCTCCATCGATATGTTTGATAACCATCAGCTAATTGGTTTATTACCTAAGTTTTTGTTGCCAACTTCGTACGATTTATTTTAAAGCTTCTATTTTGTAAACGGAAAACGAAAACCAGTTCAGTTTCGTCTACGTTGGTCACCGGTAGAGTAAATACATTTCATGGATTAATATTTTAAGTGCTTCAAATGTGCAAGTCAGTGTGAGGTTTGTGCAATAGAGAATCACCCTAGGAATCACCTGATTTGAATATTCATCCATTGCATAATACAGTTTCTCGACGCTTGCAGTGGAATTTTAAACTTTAAATTGAACGCATACTTGCCGAAATAAATTGGGTTAAATTATCACCACGGTGTGTAATTGCTTTTGCACTGAATAATTAAATGCATAGTTTCAATGCGATTAATTATAGGTTAAAGTGTGATGCAAATACTATTACAGTGAAAAGTGATGATTTTCTGAATATTATCTCCGTTTCATCAAACCCATCAGTAGCTCATTTAAAAAACATTTCGTCAAGATTTGACATATAACTAACCTATTGCTTAACATCATTACTTCTTTTGATATTTTTACCTCATCTCATTTACATTTAATACGTTTAAAAGTGTACCATTCAAACCGTGAACCATCGACGAGTTTATGATTTTTTTTTTCCAACGAAGAAATGTGTAAAATGAATATGAAGTGTGAATGTGAATGATCATTACAGCTGAACTATGTGTTTGTATAAAAGAAATATTTTAAATTCGAAATTTTTTGTGATTCAGAGCATCTGATAAAAATTTATCAAATTTATTAACTCTATTAGCCGAACGAGCGGAGCGAGTTAGATTTTGTATGTTGATTCTTGAATTCATCGCCTGTTCAATTCGAAAGTGAAACATCTGCTTAATGTGAAACGTCGTTTTTTCAACGTTATTTTTGAGAAACATTCATTCAATTATGCATGTTAACTTCTATTCCAATCGTTTTAAACTTTTTCCGAATTTATTTGTCTCTTCTGCAGTGCAAACACCCAAATGGACAATGATGTAACGCCAGTATATCTAGCAGCACAAGAGGGACATTTAGAAGTATTAAAATTTCTCGTACTTGAGGCTGGCGGTTCGCTATATGTTCGTGCACGTGATGGAATGGCACCGATTCATGCATCTGCTCAAATGGGCTGCTTGGATTGCTTGAAATGGATGGTAAGAGTCGTCAATTTTTTTTTTGTTGAATGTTTAGACAAGCAATTTTTATTGAGCTCAATGGGCGCGAGTGAGCGTACGTGCGAGTGAGCGAGTACATGCGCAGTCGTTTGTATGCAATGGTTGTATACGTGAATAGTCTAGTTAAAATCAAATAATTATGTCGTTCGATTGCAAAGTGTTGTGTGCCCATTCTTTAGCATCTTCGACGATTAGAAAGAATGTCAAAACAAAGGAAATAAAAAGAAAAGCGGTAATGGTGTCACACACAGCACAGCACAGCACATGCTGTCATCACGAGTTTTTTTCACTTCGAACGGTTAGTACTGTTAGGCTGTTTTACGCGACGAAAGCCAACCGAACTGGTTCTTGACTTTCATCTGATACCGCATACTTCCTTTATTCGTGTTTGTCTCTCTAGAGACTCAAATATGCTTGATTTTCAATCGGTCATAAATAATCTATTCAAATGATCGACAAACGTTTTTCAAGATCATTTTCTTTCAAATTCCATTGCTAATTTGCATTCGAAATGCCTGTTTGTTCACAAAACATCAATTTAAATGTGATGAGAACATTCTCAAGAATTCCAAAACCTTCACAAGGTCGCTATGACTATTATTCCAATTCTAATTTCACCGACGGCATTTTTCACATCTTTTTTCTAGGTCGAAGATCAAGGTGTCGATCTAAATTTACGTGACGGCGATGGCGCGACTCCGTTACATTTTGCTGCGTCCAGAGGTCATTTGTCATGTGTACGTTGGTTGTTGAGTCACGGTGCTAAATTGTCGCTTGACAAATACGGCAAGAGTCCGATTAATGATGCGGCCGAGAACCAACAAGTTGAGGTAATAAATCTACATTTTTTTCATTTTCAAGAACTTGTTCAAACTTTCACATGATTCATATGCAATTTCGTTGACATTTCTCTTTCGATAGTGTTTGAACGCTCTCGTACAACATGGCACAGCTGCTGAATATATGGATTCGAATATGAATAGTGTGAATGGCACACGCACAAAAACCGCCTCAAAGGCATCGAAAGGATCGTATCACAAGAAAATGTCCACATCATCCCACAATACGCTCATGTCGAAATCGTCAACGGGAAGCTCCGACACGGAACCGTTTTACTTGCATCCGCCCAGCATTCGTCAATCGCACGAAAACATTTACGGTGCGGCAACAATGCGAAATTCATCGTCACCGCCGGAAGTGACGTACGGTGTTCCAAATGATGGCCTTTATATCAATCCAATGCGAAATGGTGCATTGACATCGCCCAGTCCAAACGGAAGTGTTTCGGGCGAATCATTCTATTTGCACGATCCGCAAGAGGTTATTTACAATCGTGTCAAAGATTTGTTTGACTCAGACAGCGGTGGCAGTCACAAAGATAGCTCAAATGACAGCACAAACGGTGGTAGTGTCAATGTTTGTGCACCAAATGTCGTGGCGAACAGTTCAAAGATTCATCCGCCGAACGCAATGACCGTTCAAGTGGAGGTGCATTCAAGTAGTAGCGGTGCTGGCAGCGGAAGCGATGAAAGTCTTTCGGTTTCGTCGGGATCGGATGAACTACAACAAAAAATGCCACCACGCAATATCACCCCGAATAATGTCAACAACAATTTGGTCGAACAACATGATTACGAAGATATTTATTTAGTACGCGAAGAGGCACGTACCACAACGAAAACCAAATACGGACCAGGACGCAGTCGATCACGTGACAGTGGATCGCACAGCCGATCGGCCAGCGCTAGTTCAAATCACAGCGCAGATATTGTCGTCCAATATGCGGCCAATGTAATTATCATTTCGTTGATTTCTTCATTTTCTTCCAATGATTTTCTGACGCTTTTCAACAGAATCGAGTTTTTCAATTATCAATTTTCGCTTTTCGTCTTCATTTTCAGCAGAACAATCGCGACTTGATGACCAAGAAAAATAAATTGAACGACACAAACAAAGGCAAGTATGATAATTCGAAAAAACCAACTGACACACAGTTGAACAACATGGTGGTGAGCAACAATAATGCCAGCCAAAAACCCAATCACAATGTTATCATCAACAATAATCAATTGAAGAATGACACATACGAAAGTGTATGTTCGCCTGAAGATACGGCCGAACGCATTAAAATGGCACAGCGGCATTCGATCGCGGTCAATAACACAATTTCCACGGCGACAAACGCTCATAATAATTCAAACAGTTCAATGCCATCGAATGCTAATTGCAGTAACAGCAACAACGGCAACAACAATAATCGCCCGTTGAAACGAGTCATTTCGGCTCCTGTTGCAACAAATGAGACGAAAGGTAATTATTTTCCTCTCTCTCTCTCTCTCCCTCCAACCCACACGCCAATTCCTCTTCTATTGGAGCGACAACACTCATTGCAACTGAGAAAAAAACAAACAAACAAAGTAGCGTCCGATTAGAACCGGTTTATAATTTCATTACCCGCAAAACTTGTACATATTTTCACGCTAAAATCTATAAATTTCTCCAGTTGTCACTCAATCCAACGAAAGACAACTGCAAACAAATCAACATTTTCTTTCTATTCTCATTAAATATCAATCAAGCGCGAGGTCAATGATATTTCTTTTCTCTCTCTGTCTCTCTCGCATTTTCCTTCCTCTCTTTCTCCATTTGGCATTGATTTATTGGAAATTGTATTTATTCAAAATGAACTAAATTACTCTACCTCTTCAAAAACATAGACTTTTTGGTAAAATTTTTCCGAACCGCTTTTTTTTAAAAAACCAAACACATTTTAAGATGAAAAAAGTCAAAATCGAAATTCTTCGCACAAATTTCTCGCTTCGATCAAAATAATTGAAGCGAAATGACAATTCTCTTTAGAAAAAATGTATATTTCATTAGAAATCAAAGGTGTTCAAGCACCAAAATTTTATAAATAAAATTCCAATTCTCTAAAAGTAGCTGTGGGTCCACCACCACCACCGTTGCCGCCACCATTGAGAGCGCCCAGCCAGCCAAATCATGCAATGCCCGTTCCAATTATGTCGGCTGATTCGCAAGCCGGTTCCGCTGAAAGCGCTGTTCCTGTCTCCTCCGTCAATGGCAATGATCATGATTCGGATGAAATTGAATCAGACTTCGGTTTAGAAGTGGTCGAAGAGCCAACGTTGCGACCATCTGAATTAGTTCGAGGAAATCATAATCGAACCATGTCAACTATTTCCGGTGAGTTATTAGATTAAGTACATGAATAGGAATTAAAAAGACCAAACCATCATTTAAAATCAGTTGGCCATTTAAACATTAAGATCAGACTCTATAAATATTAATATTTGTCATTAGCAATCTTTTTTATATAAAACGATTACAAATTACCAATCTTCCAATAACGTGATTTCCGAGAAGAAGAAGAAAAAAACTCGAAAATTCACACCGACATAGTAATTAATTCCTAATTATACGTTTGGTTGCAATCGGAACGTTGACGTTTCTTTTAATTACACATCGCTCGGCTCATTCGAGTCATTGCTTCGAATGTCACTTGATATGCACTCTAATTTACACTTGTTGCATGGGATGATTTTGTGGTCACCTGGAAAACAGCGATCGAAACAGGTTTCGTCTTCTTTTTCCACCAAACATGCTCGAATGGTCACCATTTTACTTCTAAGTCACGCTCGAAACTAAATGGAAAAACAAATTCAGCTCACATTGGGCTTCCGTGTCAATAAATATTAAGCGATATGATAAACTTATATAAAACTCAATTTCGAAATTGCACGTCGGATTTTCGGCGAAAAAAAAATATCTCAAACAGATGAGTAAACACATCCACAACAAAAAAAATTATCCACTAATTTGGTGCAGCTCACTAATTCGTCGGCCAATCAGAATGGAATAATGTAAGAGCAGTGTTATATGCTTCATGATTGAAAAAGCATCTGATAAAGCAAACGAAAAGAACAACCGATGGAAAATTCCTGGAGAAAGCTCTTTGCGTCTCGCGAAATGCAAAAATGCAAGTGCGAACAAGAAAAATCCATTGATAAAATTTATTGCTGTGTGGAGAAAGCTTTGGTTAGCTTTGGCACAGCGAAGGGATGGCGTTAACAAAAGTAAGTGAGGTAATAATGAAGATGCTTACATCAAGCTCAATCCATTCAGCCAGTCAAGTCACGTCGAACAAAGTAAAAAAAAACTTTGGTGATTCATCAACATTCCATTTCCATTGTAGCGATGCTCATCTTCGACACAAAACATTGATTTTTGTGATTGTTATCATCACTGCAGAGCCGTAATTTTTATTGCCTCAGGATCATATTTTGCATAAGTTGTGCATGGCCGACGTCTGTGCTGCCGTTTTTTTTCTTCATTCGCTGGATGATTTTTTGTAATGTCTATGCTGAAGTGATGAAAAAGCATACCAACAACTTTATTAGCTTATAAAATGCACGGCGACGAATCGAAGTCATAAAGCAGCATGCATAACCAGCGTAGAACGGTAGTAACGTTCGACTCGGATATATTTATACATATAATGAGTGTTTTCATTTAACCTCTTGAAAATATGGATCGAATGATTTGTATCGCTTTTGTGATTCAATTAATTAGTAATTCAATCAACAAAATACGTGCGCGCATTTGTTGTTTATTGTTTGTTTACAGTAGCAGCAGCAACAGCAGCAACGAAGCTTGTTGAAAGCCATTGAATATCGTCTATTTTTCTTTCAACTTCGTTTTATCGTTATCGTTTCGTTTCGTTTTGTTTGGAATGGCAAGCGTGAAAAGAGAAAGAGTGAAGAAAATGTTTGCAAAAGTATAATTTTGATGTGCTCTACTGCATTAATTACATGTATTATTCGTCTTTTGAGCTTCTTTTTTTCTCATTTTTTTTCTTTATCTCTTGTTGCTGCTGTTGAGTGTGTGGATTTTTTTGTCATAACTAGACAGTTTAGTGTGTTGCGTTTTCTGTGCTGTTTCTTCCTTCCTTTTCAATTGTGTGTCCGCTCCAGCGCAGTGATGGTCGGATGAAAGATGTGTTTTAATTATGAATATATAGAGTTTTTTTTGTTTGTTTGTTTGTTTGCTCGTTCCATCGATCTCATCAAACGGAGCACCAAACACAATAGATGTTTGCCTCTTTCACACCGTTCGAGCTGTTTACACGGATTCAAATGGTAGTTTTAATTAAATCAATTGGCCAAATGTATTAACATTTCCATAAATTTAAAGGCAATCTCATTCGATCATCATGAGCGTGAATCAGAACGATATCAGAACGCGTGCAGCAACGCATGACAACGGGCCTTATTGCATATCTATCGCTTTGTGTGCTCTTATTCGAGGAGCCATAACATAACTCTCGTGATACACCTGCGAACACACACACATAGGGAGAGAGAGAGAGATCGAGAGAGACAAATAAACATATACAAACACGCATGTGTACCTCTCACATGCAAACCGAGCCACCCACGCTATTGCATCCGATTGGATTGAAGAAGAAAGCTGAAAGTCCATTTCTAGTCCACATTCGAAACAGAGACGAAACGATCACTCAGTCGATTGATGTTTTGTTTTTCGCCAACAAACCATCGAAGCGAATTTTCTCTCTGTCTGTCTATCGTGCGACTCAGCCATTTCAGATTGCGAATAGTTTCTCTCGCTCTTTTCACGGCGTCGCTCCGTCGTGTTTGCCTTTGAGCTACCGTTTTTTTTCCACGGCCCTTTCAATTCAGTTTTTCCATTCGGCTACCGTAAATCAATCACATTAGTTGGCTTTCGTCGTTATCTCTTGCTGAGCCAAGTGCGTGTCTATCAGATCTTAAATGAGCGATTTCTCTACTGTTGCTGCGCAAAAATTCGTTAATTTTCGTTAATTTGTTGGCATTCGTTTGTGGTTTTACGATTTATTCTACTTCTTTTTTTTTTCTCCTGTGGCTTTTTTTTCACTCGCCTTTTGGTTTTAAATGATACACCGTTGTGTATTTCGTTGGTGGGTTTTTAATGTTCACATCCATTTCGACAGCAAACAAGAAAGCACGGCTTATCAATGGTACAACGTCGTCAGTACAACATCAGAACAGTAACGGCGGTGGTAGTGCTTCATCATCCGACGAATATCAAACATATCAAGCACAGTATTGTGCATCGTCGTCTGTATCAGTAGCAACTGCACAAGGACAAACAGCTCAATCACGTTCCAACGGTCCAAATTTGGTGAACAAACAACTGGTTTTACCATTTGTGCCGCCCAGTTTCCCCAATGGAACATCGGATGGATCAAACCACCTAATTAAACCATCGGAATATCTTAAAAGCATTAGTGATAAGCGCTCATCAGCTTCATCTGCACGGTGAGTTTTAAGTGTAGCAGTTTAATGTTTGGTTTAATTTTGAGAAAAGTGAACGAAATGATTGAAAACTTTGGTGAATTTTCTTTTATAAGAATGGTGTCGAGTGCCTACTAGTTTGATTAAAATAAGTCACAATTTTAATTGAAAAAAAAATTCAATATTTGTTTGAAGAGATTTTTTGAAACGAAAATTAATCTTTCAAGTTCATTCAAGTGCTGTGATTTGATTTGATTTCATGGGGTCTTTTGTTTTTTTTTCTCGTTACTTTCTATAAGTTTTCGTTTCGTTTTTAGATCCAATTTTCAATGAACTTTCAAAACAACACAAATTTCAAGTTTCTTCTGCGAGAAAGAATGAAACTAAAATCTGGAATTCTTCTTCGGTTAATAGTGAAACAGAAAATTCCGCTTTGCTCGAATCGTAAAATAAAATAGTTCGAGTTTTGATTGAATAAATGAAAAAAAGAGACTTGCTATTGAGGTCTGGTAATTTACGATCATTCTTTCATTCGCTCCAACACTTCGACTTATTTACATTTGATAATAAGTGCGAAAAGCGCCCATTGAACATTGCAAGAAAAGTGCGCGCGCAGTGAAACTAAATGAACACAGCCGCACATAGCAGAGATGTAACGAGTGGTATTTTTGTGTTGATAGAAACAGTAAATGCTTGTTGATGAGAGATGTTCATTTTTCTTCGTACAACGCGCTGTATATGAGACGAAGAAGTGAGCGAATGAGAGAGGAGGTCAGTGCAAACGAAAAATTATCAGACCGGAAATAAACGGTTGTGTTACAAATTTTATAGCCGAAGCGAAAACTATTTCTTTTTTTATTCCTCTCTTTCTTATTTCCACTCTCTTCACGATGAGTTAAGAAAGAAGCGTTGAACTTTTAATTGAAAACTCAGGCATTTTCGACACCTTTCTTCGAAGACGATGATTCGCAAAGTGAATGTGTGTGTCTGTGTGATGATAACGTATTAATAGAAAATCAAATTTCGAATGTATAAACAGGTCGACAGATACAGAAGACTATATGAAAATTGAACTAGCATCAAATCAAACGGTTCCACCGCCGCCACCATTGCCGCCTCCAATCGGCGCAATCACCACCACCAATGGCGATGCAAACGGGCCAAACTCCAAAACAAACACACTCAACAGCACGGCTAGCAATATACCAGCACCTCCACCGCCCCAAGATACAGCCACACGTAAACAACAGCAACCACTCTCCGCTATTTCCATACAGGATCTTAACAGTGTACAGGTTTGTATTTGCTTTCTTCGGATCGCAGCCGATGATCGATCGATAACCCGTTTATTTGTGATTTTCGCAGCTTCGACGCACCGAAAATAAGCCGTTAGCAAAAACGTATTCCACACCAACAAGGAGCATGAGCATGCAATGTTTATCATCAACCAATGAAGCATTTTTATCGCAAAAAACGGACTTGATCGCTGAATTGAAAATGTCCAAAGACATCAATGGCATACGCAAAATGAAAGTGGAAAAGGCAAAAATGGAAGGATCATACGACAAAGAGGCTTATTTAGATATTACCAAACAATTTACAGCCACTCATTTTGTCGAACAGGTAAAAGTACGAACAATCAAGACGAGTGGATTTGTAAACTCTTAATCTCTTCTTTTTTTCAATGCTCTTTCTTCCAATTGAATTTAATTTCAAATCGATCAGATGACTAATCTCACGATAAAACTTGTTCCACTCTAGATTCCGGACAAAGACAATGCCGGCAACATCATACCCGACTGGAAGCGTCAAATGTTAGCAAAGAAAGCGGCTGAACGTGCAAAGAAAGATTTCGAGGATCGAATGATCAAAGAGGCCGAAGATCGACGCCTGTCCGCAATTCCACAATGGAAGCGTGACTTATTGGCACGTCGCGAAGAAGCCGAAAATAAACTCAAGTAATTGCCCATTTTCTTGTATATATGAAAACAAAAAATTTATCTCTCTCTTTGCTTTTGTAAATATATGAATATGAATATGACCCTGGCGTGCATGTTGACACTAACGGAAACAACTCTCTTGTTTGTCTCTCTCTCTCTCTCTCTCTCTCTCTTTTTATATATCCGGTATGCTTTTGCGCTTGCATAAATTTAACTCAAACAAAAAAAAAACAAATTGTACAACTGTTTGCGAAACAGAGCTGCGCTTTACACACCGAAAGTAGAAGAACCATCCGTTCGTCTGTCCGAATCATGGCATATGCGTCAAGCGCAACGTGCCGTTTCAATTGACAATATTAGCTTTATAACCAGTGCAATGGAGGACCGACATCACTCCGCCACCAAGGATAATAGCAATTTCTCAACATTAAGCAATAACAACTCGAATCATTCATACAATAACCATAACAATTCAAATTATCATAACAATAACCACAACAACAACAGCAACAGCATCAACAGCAACGGCAACGGCAATCATAAAACTAACAACGATGACATTCGAAACATCCATAATAACACAAATAACCAAACTAATAATAACCATAACACCAATCCAATTAATGCATCAACCGATAATTTACATAAAGCTAGTGACGATGAACCGGACAATATTATACCGTGGCGAGCCCAACTACGGAAGACAAATAGCCGATTGAGTTTGATTGGATAAGACGGAAAAAAAAGTCGAAGCTAACGACAGACATTTTTTTTTAAGATTTTAAGGAAAACTATGGAAAAACACAGCGAGTCATAATGCTATTAAATGATTTATACTTAGCTTAAGCGAAACGAGAAAAAAAGAAGAGAAAGAGAAGAACATTTATTATGCCGATTTTCATTGACACACTGAATTAGATTATAACTTATAGAACTCACGCTTTATATCGATTTACATCTACATTCATCTAATATTTACTCTTTTTTCGCATCGATGAATGACATCGAATGAAACAATTTATTATAATAAAAAAAAGAAATATTCCATTTGCTTATTATTACAACTATTTTTTTAATCCAATTGACCATTTATACGATTTATATTCAATTTAAGAATAAAGGAAAACAATTTCAAAACGAACATTCGACTTACTAAATAATTCAGCACACATCAGCTAATGCACACACATTTTGTTTGTTTTAGACAATAGATTAAAAACCGATTTTTCCAATAAGTTTCTTATACTTTGTTTGTTTGCAAGGCCTCAGCTCTGTGATTTTATGCTTCCTGTTTTTGAAATTTTTTGCCTCTACGTTATTTGTGTCACTTGAGAATGTTCTCGATTAGAATTAACTTAAAATCGCTTCTGTGTTTTTGCATTGAATTAACCAATTTTGCCTCTCCTAAAAACACTTTCTAACCGCATTCATCACAAAAAAAGTAACTTTTTTTACATTTTGAACCATTTTTCATTGAACCTAACCGAAATATTACTGTTTTGAGGTTTACATTCCTTATAACAATTTTATGTTGATTTTGTCAATAGACATTAAATAACGGAATCAAAGATTTGTTTGCAATACTAGAGATTAGTTTACACTTTGCCGCTATAATTAGCAACTATAGATTTTAATTTTGTTATGCAATTGAAAAAACCAACAAAATGCGGACTGAAAATTGCTGATTCAAGGAAAACAGATAACGCTAAATGTGGAACAATCCATTCGATGAATAACAATAAATTCAGTTCAATGACGATTAGAAGCTAATGACAATATGTAGAAAATGAGCAATTTTCAATATGTTTTCTTTCTTTTTCATGGAAGTCTTTTGTAAATATCCAATCTTTTGTTTCGATTAATGTGACTTCCAAATTTGGAATGATTTGCCTCATTTTGATGTTTTTTTTTTTATGTAAATACGATTTTTTTTTACATTAGAAATGAAAAACTATTTTTGTTTTAAGAAAAGAAATGTTGTACTAGAATTAAGGCTTTATCAATTTTCAACCCTTCCTTATGAAATACGGATTGTATTTAATTTCAAACAAAATTATAATAAAGTTATTTTTCGCTACATATATCTCGAGTTCACAGAGCAATCTCTGTGTTATTTGATTTGAAATTGTTGAAATGAATAAGTTGATAAATTTAAGGTGTGAATCTGGAAAGGCAGCTGAAGACATTTCTGGATCAATTGGTGAGTGAAAATGAGTACGAAAGTGCGCAGCACATACTAAGAATTCACTGAACGATTGACGAACAATATGACAAGACATTACATACAAGAGTACAAGACATTTCCCTGTTTGTTCCCAGTTTTGCCCACATTCGTGTGACTGTAACCCAATGAATGAAGGTAATATTCTCTTTTATCTTTGAAAAGGCGTCAATGTGGGAATTTCAACATGGAAAACTTCAAACAGTTGACGTTTGAAATGAGAAATACCATTCAATTTAATGTAGGTCTTCAAAGTACTGAAAATATAAAATCAACCAACGATCAACATTTAATGCTTAAATTTTGACATCGTTTTAGCTAAAAAAAATGTTCAAAATTGAATTAAATCAAAATATGAAATTATTCATTGAATAGAACTAAAAATTCGAGTTATTCAAAGTGATAAAATCGTTACGTGGCCATGTATATGGAAACCGCATTGTGTTTTCCGTTCAATAAAACAGATGGCGTTATTTCATTCAAAGTTTGTACGGTGAAAGGATTGCTTTTCACCAAATTACTGACTCTCCGATTCCAATTTGACTTGTGTGTTGAGAATTGAGCGAGAGAGCGAGAGAGCGAGAGAGCGAGAGAGCAAGAAGCATACATGCTAACCGTGTGGCGAGAGTAAAGAAGGAGAGAGTTTGTGTGTGCGTGTGCGCGCAATGCGAAGACGGAGGAGTACCAGTAAGCAAGAGAGCAAAACAGTTGCAAATGAGCGTAATGTGTGTGGTTTTCTCTCTCACTCTGTCTCTCTTTCGCGACACTCTCCTAACATGTGTTTTCAAATACCATTAAAAAGCTAGTATTTTTGTTGAGTTTCTCTCATTGTGTGTTCTCAGTTCGTAGCGTAAACACAGCAACTCGTGTGAGTCTCTTCGACCGCCTAAATAACAAATAAACACTATTGTTGACAACAGACCAAGCTAAGCGTGTGTGTGCGTTGGTTCCCGCGAAACAGTAATACATTTTTCCAAAAGGTAAGTGAATTGAGGCAAACTTGTATTTTTCGTGTTGTGAAATAAATGAGTTCCCTTTGCGTCGTTGAAAATTTCGTCAATTTTTTTTTTCATCGAATTTTTCTTTCCATTTTGCAAAAGTGTTGTAAAATTGAGGGAAAAAATTATTTTCCAAAAGAATCAAAGTGAAATGTGAGAAATTATTTCGAAAAAAAAAATGCATATTTTAATAAAATAGATTTTTCCGCTCATCTGAACGCTATTGTGGCATCCGTCGCCATCTTGTTTATTGCATACTGTCGTTGGACCAAGCCATATATGTGTGACGTGCTATGAGCTCTTTGATGTATTCAATCGTGTGTTTTGTATTGAGCACGCGATATATCAAAGAGAAAAAAAAATTGAAAATGTTAATTACGTAGTATGAGTTTTGGAGGCTTCCCCACTCCACTTTTGAGCATTTCGCACAATTACATTCGTGCCGTTTTTTTTCCTTCGTTCATTCGTTTTGTTGTTTTTTCTTGCCATCTTTACATTACATTCTGTTCCAACGATTTTGATTCCCTCGATATCGCTCTAATGTTCGTTCTATATGAGCTGTATGCTTTTCTGTATCTGGGCCAGCGCACAATGCAATTATTATGAAAACGATTCTTCATATGACTTTCCAAGAATGTTTTTTTTTTGGAAAATTATCATTGAATAACCCAACTGCACGTACATAAATATTTTTCTTCTGGGCAATCATAACAATCACTCTGAATATTGTTGAATGCGTTGAGTGGAGGTAAAGTCTTTTTGTAATGCGAATTGAAATTTCTTCACATTTTACCTCATCACACACAGCTTGAATTGGCCGAAGTACAGTCACGCTAATCCGGACACAACATCACACATTTTTTGAGTGCACCATTTGTGTGCGGCGTGCGGTCGGGGCAACGAATTTACCAGATAAATATGCGCGTGTGCACGGGTTCGGGCTTCTTTATAGCCTGAGCGTACGTGTCACGAACTTTCGATGATTTGATTCGATAATTATTATTACTGTCTCAAGCCACGACATGATATTCTGTTAACAAGAATTTCAATGACGAATTATTGATATGGGACTTGTAGTAGAATGAATTACTATGCCATTTGTACGTTATCGGATTTGTGGAGTTTGAACTCTGTTTTTTGGGAACATTTCAAGAAAAGCTATGATTTATATTCTATAGAGAAAAAAATCTGAGAAATTCATCAGCCGTTTATATCTTTCATTTGCATATTTTGCCTGTGTTTGGCCAAATGAAGTACTTGTTTTTCCTTTTTTAAGTTTCAAAGTCACACAGTTTGGATTTCGTCATAATGACTCATCTAGTATTCCTTGTTCTTCTTTTGCTCTTTCTTCGTAATTTACATGGAGAAAAAAAAACATTCAACCCAAGCCTGTCGGTACATGTTTTTGCTACGCACGCACACATTTGCACTGCGTGTGCGACGGCTGTGTCGCCTGATAGAAGCACCGTTGATTGAAAAATAAAATGTTCGTGCATCGCTCCGTGTGTGACCGTTGGAGGGTTCATTTTCCACTTTCGATCTCCTCTTTACCATCCTCTTTCGCTTGGGCGTCTTGGCATCGCTATTTCAACACGTACACCCAATTGTTACACATATTTTCAAGAGCTTGGCTTGGATATTGAGCATAGCTTCGGTTTACTTCAATCGATTTATTTGGTTTTCGTTTATTTGTTTTGCGCGCATTAGACTGTCAGCTTGAGTAGTAATTTAACGTTTTTTTTTCGGTTGCAAAGAAAATATTTGCCCATATTTCATTAGTAACTTTGTTATCACTTTCAAAGATATTCTGTGTATTTATATTGACATAGCAGACCGGTTTATGCAATGACGCTCACGATGAGTGATATATGATTATTTTAATGCCCTCTTTAACTATACTACCTCATCTATTTTTGAATTATTAAACATGAATTCATCAAAAATTTATTGATTTGTTCCGTTTTTTTTTGTTGTTTTTTTTTCTTTAGACGAAACATTAATTGACAATGGCCCGTACCAAGCAGACTGCTCGTAAATCTACTGGAGGAAAGGCTCCACGTAAACAATTGGCCACCAAAGCTGCCCGTAAGAGCGCCCCATCGACCGGTGGTGTCAAGAAGCCACATCGTTATCGTCCAGGTACCGTCGCTCTTCGTGAAATCCGTCGTTACCAGAAGTCCACCGAATTGTTGATCCGCAAGTTGCCGTTCCAACGTTTGGTGCGTGAAATCGCTCAGGACTTCAAGACCGACTTGCGTTTCCAATCGGCCGCCATCGGTGCTTTGCAAGTGAGTATACCGTTTCATTTTCTGCAATTCAATTTTGATTTTTTTCCTCATCCAATTCAAAAGACTTGAAGGAATTTTTCGTTATTTTTTTTTCATTTTGAAACAAATTTCTCTAAATGCTAAGCAAAGAAGACATTTTACGTATTCATTTGACTAATTCCGTTTGTTTTTTTCTTTTTTCTCTTTTTTCCCTTCTTTCGCATCATAGGAAGCCTCCGAAGCTTACTTGGTTGGATTGTTCGAAGACACCAACTTGTGCGCCATCCACGCCAAACGTGTCACCATCATGCCGAAAGACATCCAGCTCGCTCGTCGTATCCGAGGCGAACGTGCTTAAGGACTGTCAATATTAATAACAGTGGATTTTACGTATTCGTTTTCAATTATTTTGCAAACCTTTTTTTTCTCTTCATTACTAAAAATAATTGTCTACATTTGATAAGCAAAAAAACACATTTGATTAAATAAACCATAAATAAAACTAACGACGTCCGACTTAAATTTCTTAGACGAATATCATTTGCGTTTTTATTTGATTGTTTTCGATGTTTTTCTTTCAGCATTTTGGCATTGAAATGCATATGAAAGAGGAAGAAAGAAGTGGGACGATCTCATTTTTAATATGCGTATCGGAATGAACTTTTTTCCACTCTTGTTGACATTTGCAACGGCTTTTTTTTTTAAATATGAATTTTTTCGGTTGTGTCAATCACCAGACGAAGATGAATTTCATTTTTAGACAAGAAATGGGATGAATTAAATCTGTATTTGGATATAAAATGATATGAAAGAAAGATTATTTATATAAAATGTTATGAGGTCAATGCAAATAAGGCGGCAAAAATTGTTATGGCTCAACTGTCAGTCTCAGCTGTTCGTTTGAATCATGGAAAAGTCGTTAAATGTTCAAAATTCAAGCAAAATCTCTGGATTTTAATAGATTTCACACAAAAATCGAGTCAAAGATAAAAAAGAACGAATTTATTTTCATATTTTCCATATTCGTCCAAAGTTTTCATCAGTTTTTCATGAAAAAGGCAGTTGCTTTTCAAATACACCAGATGGCGCTGAGACATTTACCCCACACACAAAACTCACCACCTCTCTCTCTCTCTCCAACTCTGACTCTCATTCGACACTCTCACTTGCTATGCATACTACGATATCCTATAATATTTATTATTGCGCTCTTAGCGGTGTCTGTCAGTTTATTTGTGCTCTCTGAATCGTTCAGACGTTTAATCCGTGTGACTTGTGTGTGAAACCAAAAGCAAAAGGTAAGTTTGTCTTGATTCTTTGAACAAAAAATCATTTTTTTTCGCTTACTTTTAATTTTTCGCTCAAGTGAAAGAAAGTTCTGGAAATTTCTGAAAATTATTTCGCATAAATCGCGGGCATAAAACTCCAAAAAAATCGCCAAAAATTCATTCACATCATTTTGTATAAAATTTTCATAATTTGTTTGGGTCAAACAATTAAAATCGATAAGAAAATTTCGAAATCGAAAAATCGTAAATTATTTTCTATTTCCTCACAATCGTGTTGTGTTGTACGCGCGACGACGAATGACGCCATTTTATTTTTAGCTATTGGAAATATCATATCAACCAATTGCATTCACTACATTGTCTGTGCTCTCCCTCTGTGTGTGCTTAGTTTCGTGTGGATATCATAAATTTTCGCATTTCAATTTTAGTATAAACTAAATTCGTGCCATTTATCCTTCGAAATATGGCAAAATCGAAATTAATTTCGCTAAAAATGGAATAAAACCATCAAAGTTCATAGGGAAATCCGATCGGGCAGTCATTAATTTAATTCGGTGACGAAAAACTCTCAACTCACACACAAAAAAAAAGTATGAAGCCCAAACAGTCATAAGAAAGTGTTCATCAATCTCTTTTTTTTCTCGGTATGTTGTATTTCGCTCATGTGGCCGCTTACTTACTCGCTCACTGCTCACTCGTTTGCAGCGGGAAAAAATAAGAGAAACAATACACTCAAACTGTAAATAATAACGTCACACGCACGTACGCACACACACACACATGCATAGACGCGCGCGCCAAATGAGAAGGAGAAACAGTACCCATTACATTAGTTCCGACGAATAATTGTGTATTGAGTGTATACATATTGTAACGAAGGCGACGTGAAAGAAAAAAAACGAGAGGAACAACACATGCGCAGTTAATGCGGTTTGCTTTTAATATCTTACTGGGGCTTCTTTCCTCCATTCCACATCGTTTACACAGATCACGTTCGTTGTGTGTTCGGATGTTTGTTTTGTTTCTTCTCTCTCTGCTCGCATTGTGAGAGGCTCGCGATGCCGTTCCAATGTGTGTACATTTGATCGGACGGTCAGTGTTGTGTCGCATTCACAGAACATACTCTACATTCATATTCTAATCGGATGGGCTAAACGAAACAAAACAAATCGCTTCGATGTGTGTACGTGATTAGTCGTCATCGTTCAAACGTACAAGCCCGAAAAGTCGACCGACAAAGATCGCATTGTCTCTCTGTGTGTATTCGTTGTCGCACCGTGTTGGAGTCATCAAGCTGTAGCCATACAATCTAGACAGATGTTTCGATGCAAAACAATTAAACAAACGGTTTATCATTCACCCGTATCGATTGCCACTGATTACGAAATTGTATCGATAAATTTTTAAACAATTTATGCGAATTTAGTTCAAAACGGTCAACATTTTACATTTGTTATGCTGACGATATATTTTAGTCTAACTAACATACAACAAGTAATTACGAACTAAAACAATTTTTTCTTTCGGTTGTAATTCATTCGAATTGTACAATTTTTCCATCGTGCGTCGCCATCTATCAATCATTTTGTCGTCCGTAGAGAGCTTGTGCATTTTCAAACACTTTAGTGTTGTTGCTGTGCCATTTTCCCGCTTACATATTTTTCTCACACATAAACTGAGAAACATACGAAAACTGTTTGATCGGCCGTCTCTTTCATGTTCGCATACCTCAATAGCACATTGCCATATACCAATATCCCTTTCTATCGGCTATGTTGCGCCACTCAAACCGAATCATTCATTTTCACATTGAAATCGGATTTCCAGTTTGCAATTGAATACAAATCGTAAAGCACACATTCGTGTACTACGGCGAGAACCGTACAGCTATTTTTGTTGTTTGATATCTGTGAAATTCCAAAAATACAAACTCATCGATAATACCGTCGATTGTGATTTGGTGAAAGGTACTTGAGCTTAAATTTAATCACTCAATTCCGTTTGTAAATTACGATTTACGTTTGTCGTGATTGTTTTTTTGTTTGTTTCGCGAATGCAAAAAGCAACAGTAAATAGAATGTAGTGGGGAGAGGGGGGATATGGATCATCGTTGTTTCGTTTGTCTTCGGATAAGCCATTTTATTGAATTCATAGATATATGAGAGTGTGTTTGCATTACCTTCGGTGGCCAACAACAACACTTTCGTGTGATGCTCTTCACAAATGCGTTCAGTGTTTGTGTTGGCTGTACTTTTTCCTTTAATTTTCTTCACTCTCTTTCTCTCTCTCCCTCGCAATATACGTGCATATACTCATTTTATTCCGCGCGCATCGACGCCATTTTATTTTTAGTTGTTTTCACTTGTGCATAAATTAATTGCATCAATTTTCGCCGATTTTTCCATTTCAATTATTTTTGCGTGTTCACTGCATTTTTATGCATAATTTTAAGAAAAAAAAAAAATGTTTTTTTGTTAAAAAATGGGAATTTCCAATGATTTGGCCGTTTTACAATTGATATATTTTAAATATTTTGAACGGTGTATGAGCAGATAGACTTTCTCTCTTTGTCGTTGTGCGATGAACTTTCTTGCAATCGATATAGGTACAGCAATGCATCATATAGACTTTTATGTTACGCCATTGTTGACGTCGTCTCCGTAGCACACACAACAGGGTCATTGAAAAACGACACTTCCTCACGTTTTGTTTACAAATATTAGAGCGGCGTGCAAGCGATTGCTGCTTTTTTATGTAAGTCACCAAGCTCGCTCGTTCTCTCTTTAGGCTGTGTGTATGCGTGGAGATTGCGTTGTTCACGCCAATCCTGCAACTCATCGGCATCACATTCCAAACGGCGACGCTTGACTATAGCTCAGCTGTTTTTAATGCGAATTTTCGAAAGAAATCTAAACAGTTTTTTTTCTGTTCGCTTGTCCGGACAAGCCGTTTATTGTTTTAATTAAAACCCGTAACAATATTTTGGTTGAGAAGAATAATAATGAATAGGTTAAAAGGCTTTCTTGTTTCAAAAGACTTGATTATTAGCAATAGATCAATGCATCGATTGTTTAAATTATTGTTCACTTTCTAAAACTGAAAATTTTCACTTTCGTTTGCATTATTTAGGTAAGAAGAAACAATGGCCCGTACCAAGCAGACTGCTCGTAAATCTACTGGAGGAAAGGCTCCACGTAAACAATTGGCCACCAAAGCTGCCCGTAAGAGCGCCCCATCGACCGGTGGTGTCAAGAAGCCACATCGTTATCGTCCAGGTACCGTCGCTCTTCGTGAAATCCGTCGTTACCAGAAGTCCACCGAATTGTTGATCCGCAAATTGCCGTTCCAACGTTTGGTGCGTGAAATCGCTCAGGACTTCAAGACCGATTTACGTTTCCAATCGGCCGCCATCGGTGCTTTGCAAGTGAGTATACCGTTTCATTCTCTTCAATTCAATTTTGATTTTTTGTCTCATCCATTCAAAAGACTTGGACGAATTTTTCGTTATTTTTTTTTTTCATTTTGAAACAAATTTCTCTAAATGCAAAGCAAAGAAGACATTTTTTGTATTATTCTCACTAATTCCGTTTGTTTTTTTCTTTTTTCCTTTCTTTCGCATCACAGGAAGCCTCCGAAGCTTACTTGGTTGGATTGTTCGAAGACACCAACTTGTGCGCCATCCACGCCAAACGTGTCACTATCATGCCGAAAGACATCCAGCTCGCTCGTCGTATCCGAGGCGAACGTGCTTAAGCGAATCGAAAACAACAAATTTCAACAATTTTTCATTAATCTTACAATTACATCATATTAAATACGATAGCTGTATTGATTCTGTGTAGTACATTTTTCAAGAATAGTTCAGCTTATTATTATATCGTTTTTTTTTTCTTCGTCCCATCACAAACAACATAAACAGTCCGTTTTCGTTTGTTCATTCAATTCATTCCAGTGAATTCGAAACGAGAGCATAACACAAAAGCAAACAACAATTTGACAGAAATAAAAAGCAAGATAAGAACATAATCACATAATAAAAATGAAACAGTAAAGAAATGAACAAAAAAACAGGACAAAAAACCATTATGATTCGATCATAGAATATGATTATTACAAAATAGATGTGAAATTTTTTTCAGTTTTTTAAATCAATCAGAAAAAGATAACCGAAATGACACAATTTTCATTTTTTCTCTCATACACATAAATATGTTAAGAATAATTATTATGTATTTCGTTTTCTGAAATAAAATCATGAAATTTTTCATTTCGATGCTTAGAGAATAAAAAAAACCTCGTTTGGTTGTTTGAACTTCTTTACTTGGGTAACACCAAATCATGAGACGGAGCTGTTTTTTGTCAACGATGGTAAGTATATTGAACGCGAGTTTATTTCCATGTCTGGAAACTATTTTTGGCCCTGAATATAATTCAGAGTCATAAACCAACGCCACCTCGTGACGAACGAATGCTTAAAAGAATGAAAAAAAGGGAGCTCATAACAATAGAAAATCATGCAAACAATACCATTATTATAATCACCATAGCAGAGCACAAGAGAAAAAGTAATCACCCGGAATAATACAGGGAATATTTTGCGCCAATGCATTCATTCACTTTGTCAACGTTGCTTGTTTATCAGTGAAATATGACTTTGAAAAATGCGTTCGGAAAATTTGACAGATTCCGAACGCATTTTGTTAAATCATTTGGTACCTAAAATAGTAAGAATTCCAAATGTATTCAGCTGCTGTTAAAACACACATTTGGTGTTTCATACATAAATGCCACATTTTCATATGGAAAATATTTGGTGAGCAAATAAAAAAAATCGGATATTTAGATATTTTCAGAATAAGTTTGCAAATTTCGAGTATTTTGTCAAAAAAAACCCTAAAAAGCATTCCCAATTGTGGAATAAAGCAAGACACTGAGTGCGATTGTGATTGAACATTATTTAAAGTTTTGAGTCGATTGAGTTCCCCTTCAGATTTTGTTTTGATCGAGTGTTGCACTGAATGGACAGGCTATTCCGCATCTGACAACAAATGAATCCTCTTCTACGTATTTCTCATCTCTTTTCAATTAGGTAGGTAAACCAGGAACGTGTGCTAACATTTTGCTTTTTACCTACATTTGAATCAAATACTAGCTAAGTTTAATGAACATCAAAAACGGTCATGAATCAATCAATATTCAATATTTTTCTGGATTAGAATGAAAATCAAACATTTAAAAAAAAATCGTATGGAAAAGAAAAATTGTCATTCAATAAACATTTTTTTATTTAAATCATAAATAAAAATTCATTTTTCCGCAATAAACGAAATAAATTCATATTGAATTGATTTGAAATCTAGTATGGCGAAAAACGATGGTTCGGCAATTTGACGCTTAATAACGTACCTCCCCGCCTCCCTCCAGTTCGCCGTGCGGCGAATACGTTTGTCTCGTTCCATTGAGAGTCACACAGAGAGCGGCTTTGTGAATGGCTTGTTGCTTTGCCACTTCGCCTGTCTTGCTGCCAATATTTTCGTTCTTTCTTTGTCTGTCTTCCGCCTCGTAGCATTTGTCTATCGTTGACGTTGGCGTTTCAAACCGATGCGCAGCCATATTGAATTCGCTTCAGCACGACATACACACAGGCCAGAGTGAGAGACTGAGTGAGATTCGTAATGTAAAGGTTTTTTTTTCTTTCAATTTTTATCATTCGTCGTATACATCGAATTGCTTGTGTGTGGCTTAAAACCATTGTGCGTTGAGAAGCAGCGTTTTGTGCCGCCAAACAAAACGATTTGCAAAACAATTATTGAGAAATTAAAAACGATTGTGTTCATTTAACAACACATCAAAATAATTTTAAGGAGAAAAAAAAATCAAATCATCGACGAAAAAAGTTAAATCTCATTCAAACAACCAAATTTTCTGTTGTTCGAAAAGTGAACTCGTGTGTGAGAAGAGAAGAAAAAAAAGTTGCGTGCATGTTGGATGAACAACAATATTTTAATTGTGACTGAATGGCATTGAATCGGAAATGAAAAAGATTGCAACAAAACTGGGAAAAGCGAATTTAATCCAAAATCAGGTAATTAATATTTTACATTTGTTTTTTTTTTGTTTTTTTAGTTTTTTTTTTCAACGAATGTTCTGTTCAAAGTGAGAAATAAGAATCTAATATGTATTGTGTGCGCCATTCAGTTTCGTAAGGCACGATTATTAATGTATTTTTGTGAGTGAGAATACAAAGCCATTTTTAAAACGAATACCACAGCAACAGCAACATATAATTACTTTGTTAGCAGTTGTTCATTCAGCTGGACTGTTTCACCGAGTTCATTGCTTTCAACAACAGAAACCAAAATTCATAATATTCCGCAAGGAAAATCGCATCGGAAATTGTGTAGAAAAATTGCAGGTCAAGGAAACCAAAAATGAACTGCATGTGAATCGTTGTGTACGCATCGAGTCGACGAATATCAGCTGTAAATTGGGTGCATGAAATTGGAAAACATTTCATTAAGTGAAAGAGAAAAGTTGTATTTCGAAGAGCGTGCGCTACACTCCGCGCGCGGCCATAAAATCATGTGTGGGATTTTTTTCTTCTTTCGTTGTTTGTTCACTTGAAATGTGTCGTATTTGAATTCAGAATATATGCTACGATTCTTGTTCAGCCAAAGCGAATGGATTGAGCAAAGAGATAGAGTGAAAAGACAACGCGTGAATACATTCAAATGATTTGTCGACTTGTTTGTTCACTCGCTCGTTCGTTCACGCGCTCTCATTATCTCTCACTCTCTGCACGATTACGATTTGGCAAAGCGTGAGGGCCCGAGAGTTATAATAAATTGTGCCAACACACATTTGCAATCGCGCGCTTTGGATTCTAATTCGAGTTCCAATAAAACACATTGACGCCAGCAGTGGAACCGCTGAGAGCGCTGCATCCGTGCACGCACTCAACAACCCAATGAAATGTTCAGAGCCGAAAGAGATCCGAGAAGAAAAAACAGAAATATGAATCCATCATCTGGTTGTTTGTTTTATAACAATTTGCGTACGCGCTTCTGTGTGTTGTTGCGTGCAAGCTCTCAACAAAATACCTGTATGTTGTGCTTAAACATTATTTTCGAAACGAAGAAAATAAATAAATGCGATGATAAAACCGAAACAGAATCGGCCGAACGAATGTCGAGCGAAAAGAAAGACCGTAAAACAACTGCAACTCAATAGCATTGCATACAACGGTTGCATATATGCGTTGCACACATTTTTCACTTTTCTCTCGCTCTCTCTCTCTCTCTCTCTCTCTCTCTCTCTCTCTCTTTTCCACTCCCGCTCATTCTTCATCATATTTTATTGCTCCGCGAAATATCAACTCGTATTCTCAAAGATCTAAGACAAAGCGCACATGTATATTTTGTTTAGCCGTTCGAACGATTGACTGGCTTCAAATTTGTATATGATGATTTATTTTTTCTTTACTTTTCGTTCATTCGTTGATATTCGCGCGTGTACGCCAAACGATGAGGTTACAATGCCAATAAATACAACGACAAAACCGTGAATTCATACGCTTTGGTTGTAATATGTCGCGGTGTGCGCGCTAGAGAGAGAGAGAGACACTGTGTGTACACTATCGACAAAACGAATCGGAATGATACGACACACAACGACAATCGACCGACCGACCGATGTCAGTGAATAAAGTCGCTTTGTAGTCGCTCTTTACCGTGCCAACGCAGTGTATCAACAGCCGAACATCGGATCGGTACAATTTTTAAAAATAACAAGAGAAAATAAATATCTATATCGTACACACATCGCGCGTATACCCCGTGTGCATTTGTCGCACAATAAACGAGACCCATTCGCAAGCGATCCGACGAGAAACAATGTTATTATTCAATATTAGTTTTTCGCACTTTTTAGCACTACATGAAATGTAGAGCTACTTATCTGCTTATTTTTTTTTCTTAATACTTTTTGAGTGATGAAACTAACTATGGTGAATTTGAACTTTATGCTCATATTTTTTATTTAATTTAAAACAGGTGCACTAACGACAAATAAGTGCATAATATCTAAAGCGCCAATCAAATTTTTATTATCAAATGTTGTTTAAAAATTACATTAATTTTTCGTATAATATTTTCTGAGTCTTGGACAGAATTGAAGTGATTTTAGATTCTATGCTCATATTATTATATAACCAAAGGCAGTATATTTTAAAAAAGAATAAAACCAAGATCTTGTAATTCATTTTGCAAATAAATATATTACTTCAAAGTTACTTCGATGAAATACATTTCATGTAGTGCGCCAAAAAATAGTTTGTTGTGAAACAACAAAATAGATTAAGTAACTAAAAACTCAAGAACGCAGAGCGGAGCAAAGCGAAGCTCTGCGGTCTTGTTTTTTCCTCTTGCGCGCTCTCCATCACACTTGTGTCAATCAATAAAAATTAATTAGTTGGTGTTCGACGAGAGTGAACGCAGATATAGAGGAAATCATATACCCAGATCGTTACGGACATTTTACCACAACACCGAAATGCTAATGAATTGAAACAGATTTGCATTGGAGTGAATATAGGTGCCGTTGAATAGTGAAATTATGTCATAAAAATATCGATTCAATTTCAATTGAAAAACTGAAAGTAAAAAAAAACAACATTTTTTTACAAGTTGCAATCAAAAAGTTTTAAAAGTTTTCCCTATTTGTTTTCGTTTCCTCCGCATAGACGAAAAAGATTTATGAACGAAATCTAATCGAATGAAGCAAACATCAAACATCTCGTCGACACTAAGCGAAAACATAAACAAACACATACAACGGATTCCAACGACGGATAGATGAACATATGCAGAAGGTGCCAAGGTGAAGCACATAACGACAGTAACAAAGTGGGAAGGCGGAAAATAACAAAACAAGCAAAGTAACTAAGTGCAGTACACCGAAATTTTTAGCAATAATCGCAGCTTCAAGTTTTTGTTTTACACACTGAAGAACAGCAGATAAGGAGGAGAGAAAAAAATGGTTCGAGGTAAGCATACGCGACACATCTCATTTCTCATGTAGATTTATAATCAAATTTATTATTATAAGTTTTATTCTGTGCAATTTACAAAATGTGTGTTTGGCAATTTTCGTCGAAGAACGAGAAGAACAGGAAAAAAAACGTGCTATTGTTTAAGTCAGTAATAGTCAGTAGAATGATTCTCACGTACAGAAAATATTGCAAAAAGCCCGTCCCTCTCAACAATAATAACGAAAAAAAACCAATTGACAATTGAAAAATATACAGTTTTAATATCCCTATTATCCATCAATCGCAAGTTTTTCAATCGCTTTTTTATGGGTGTTCAATGAGTTATTCTGTCGAGCCTTTCTCGTCATCGCGAGAGTGCACATAGAATGTATTATATGATTTTTGGAGTTAGTTTTCTCTGTTTCAACTTATTCATATTTTGCTTATTGTTAGTGTGTCGTCTCCTCTATTTTGCATATTTTAAAACGCGCAATATAATTTACCAAACGATTTGGAGGGTTTGAATATGGAGATATAGTGTTTTTATTTCTTCTACTCTCTTGTTGCTGCTCATGAGCATTGTATATCGATACAGCGTTTGGATACACGTTTTATTTAGCTGCTCAGTGTTAATCACAATGAGAGATTTGCATTTGAATATCGCGCAAAATGAATGTATCGTTGATTATTTCATGATCGAACGGAATCGATTTTATGTGATTTTATTTCTTCATTTATTTTTCTGAGGCAATAGCATCTGCCAATGTCATTGGTTCAAGTTTTTCTTTCATCTTCGTTCATTTGTTCATTGACATCGTTGCTCGGTTGGTTTGACTCGTGGCACGATAATTGCAACGGAAAATTCAATTAAAGTGCTAATGGAATCGTAGGTGGGAATAATGAAAGCAATTTTTTTTTCTACGACTTTCGTTCTACGAACAAAATATTCCGGTGATGACATGCACGACGGCGGCGGCCACTTGGTGCCAATTTGTCATTCTATTTCGTGTGTTGCGTTTTCGTGGCGGGCCAAGCGCGCCATGAGCGTATGTACGTTGTTTTTGCATTCTTTTTTTTAGCTAGACCGAAATGATACGCTCAGCGGATTAGTCAAAACATCGCATCGAAACTGAAACCAAACAACTGCATTGCAATTTACTTGCTTAATCAGCACGAAAATGTGTGCACGTCAAACAGACATACGATTTATTGGATACTTACTCCAATATGTAATAACGATATGGTTAATCGAATTCAAAAAATAATCCATATTTTATCATTCGTTGAGCGAATTTTCTTTCCAACCCGTTCATTCGCATAAGATTTACTAGGTTCGATTGCAATCGCATGTGTGCGTATACAAATCACAAACACAATTTTTGTATTGATCAGCAGAACAGCGGAAAAAAAATGTACACTCAATAATAAGCCGTAAATAGTTGTTCGGTGGACCATGTCGCGTTTGAAATGCATGACCAATGCGAATTTGATCGAGTCAGTTTGAAATTTGTTTGGAGGTCTGCGCGTTGCAGCTAATGAGTTCGCTAGTAATTATCAATTGTTTTGTTGTTATTATTACTACTAAACTGCAAAAACCACCGCACTCGCCGTGAATACGAATACATTGTAGACGAGAGTCGAAAAGTGGAGTGTGTGCGCGGTGTGTGTAGTGTATCGATTGTGTTATGTGGCGTATAGCATTCAAGTGTATATATCTACCGAGAGATATGTATGGTTGCGATGGTGCGACCGAGAGAACGAGTTTCAATATATACAAATGGCATAAATTCGGCGCGAGCGAATCTGAAAAAAGACACTCAAAACAGCCAAGGACATAACTCGACTAGAAAACCGACGAATGAAGAAAAGTGAGACTTTTTTTTGCAATGAATGCGTCGCATGCTCTGTGTCTCATCGTTGTGTCGCAACAGTAGCGGTCAATCGACGACGACGACGATGACGATGACGACGAACTGCAGTAGCAATTGCATCAAAGAGAAGAAGAAAAAAGAGTGCATTATTGACACCAGCAGATTTCGAACACCACATACACTACTTATGTGCGCTCGGAACAAAGTGAGACACTCATAATCACGCAGAATAATAGCGAAGAGAATTTGGTTGTTGTTGTTGTAGTTTTTTTTTCGTACGCGCGGTCGATTGTTGTGTTGTTGTTAAATTTTTTTTGCGTGATTCCGTCTTTCTCTTGTTATTCTGCGTTCGTTCGGTTGGTCGGTCGGTCGGTCGATTCGTTTGCTGTGTTCGCTTTGTTGCGTACTTTTTGTCATTTTATCTGTCAATTTATTTACTTTGACCCAAATTCTCAATCGTTACGCAATTTTCAAACCAACAAACTAAAACCTTTTCGATGCGCTAAGGACTCGCTCTCTCGTCAAACATAAAATCAATTCTTTCTACGTTTTTTCTTCTTTCTGTTCATCTCTATGTCACTTCACATGCTATATACCGCAAATAGCCAGAAAGACCTTGTATGTCCTTAATTTCTATTTTCGTTCATCTTATCATGAGCAATTTTAAAACACGTATTATTTATTCATTGAAGCCCTTGGATTTAAAAGTTTGTGTTTGCATAGCGCGGCAATTCCATTGACAATATCAAACAGGAAAACCACACATAAGTACACAGCGCTGTTTGCCACCACAATTGTATTCACTTGTGCATTATATGTAGACCACAACAATAATATTTTAATTTGGCACCACGTCATATATCTTTCTGTTTTTTTTTTGGTAATATTTTGACTATAGCCAAAAAAGAGAGTGACCGCTCTCTTATGTACGCATGTTCTGTTCAAATGTCATGTGTCATTCCCTTCAAAAATTGTTTGAACTTTGATATTATTTTGGCATTTTTTCTTCATGAAATTAGCCAATCTTGCGATTCGAATGCGTGCAAATTTCAATCGTCGGCATTTCAGTTTCATTTGGCCAAGCTAGGAATATCTAGCCTAGAAATGACAACACAAATACCAAAATGCATTCAACACAAAGTGTACATAATAATGGACGCACCAATTCAATTTATGTGGTACGTTAGCAAAAAATGCATATTCTAAATTCACTATAATAAGGCGGCGTAAAGAGAGCGCATAAAATGATAGAAACTGAAAATCAGTACCGTGACATAAGCGTATATCATGATATATGATACGTATGAGGTAGCTCTGTTGTTCATTCTGGTGATTGCAACAAAGTGCACGATGACTCATCTGATGGTCACGTCATTCATGCTATCTCGTGATTTATGAATCTCATCCATTGATTCGGGAGGCGACAAAGCGTGCATTTTAAACCCATCACAATGTTGCCGTTCATTATTTTTTTCGCAAGCAGAGCATCGATGGAGAGAAGAAAAAAATCGAAATTCGTTAAGTGAACAGGCAATTTTTTGTTTTTCTCGCAGCGGTTGTTGCTTTTAAGGCGTTGAATTGAATTGAATAATGTAATAAATGAAACAATGACAAAAAAACGCATTACAAAATTAAAATCCATAAATGTGAATCGTTCAATCTTTCAGCGAGATGGGCATTGAGCGTCACATGATCTCTTTCCGTAATTTTCATCGAGTTGTTCATTCATCATTTTCGCAATCATCGTTTTTGAAAAACCATCATACATTTCATGTTTGAATTCAATTTCGGAATTAATATTTGCTCAGCGAATGTGACAGTGCTGGTAAATAACTGTCCCGGAGAAAAGACAAATGCAATGAATTTAATGTGTATAATTTATGCATGAAATTGTGACATACAACAACAAAAGACACAACAAAACGATTGAGGAAATTCAGCGACGCATAACAACAGTCGAGCAAACAAATTGTGTGTACAAACAATTTGTAGTTTAATATCAATATCAAACAGTATACGATGCGTGCTAATCGAGCATACGAATGTTTTCATTTTCTTTGTTTTTCAATTATTTATTTGTACAGTTTGCGTCATTATTATTAATTCTACCGCCGCCTTTTCGACGGGTACAAACAACTCTCCTATTCACTTTGAATTTGACAACTGACATTGAGCGCAAACACCACCTAGATAATCTAAGGCTAATGACAATACAATCAAGTAAACTCTCCGTTCTATCAAACGTCATACTGAAGTATAACATACAGACATCACGAACCCGCGATCGGTTCTTTAGATGGCGCTTCGGTCAACCGAGTTCCAACCAAATACATGTATCAGTATAAGAAGCATTCCACTGTTGAGTACAAATGTTGTTGCTTTTTTGTGTGCGTGCAATGAGCGTAATTTAAGAGTGAGGGAGAGAAAAGAAGAAGAGAAAAAAACGTTTTTCTATTTTGTCAATTTGTTTGCATGGCTAAAACTACGAAAACTCCCTCCCAAAATTCTAGTTATCGTTCAATGCCGTTTATCGTGTTTTCCTCTCTTTCGCGTTCAGAAAAATTTATGGAGACTTGCATTGAAATTGATGATATTATGTGTATTTTGAACCGTGCTTGATTAATGGCACTGCTTATAACTTGAATGTCGACGTCGAAATAAACAGCAAAAGAGAGAAAAATCTAGTTAAAAAAAAGTGTTTTTCAAGTTTTTTTTTCTTCTGTCTTCTCTTTTTCATTTCAACTTGGTTTTGTGCGAGCGCAACAAAATCACGTCCCAGCAATTAAATCCATTACGAATGGCGATGTGCAAGCATTTGTGGCCGTTTGTAAGTGCAACAGTAATAAGCTTTTGCCATTTATTTTCATTCGTCTTCTGTGAATGCATCCAAGAGAGAGATTCGATATTGATTTCGCTTTGCAATTATCTATAATGCGGCTAGTGTCTTGAATAAACGGCGTACAGTGCAGTTGCGATAATAATCGATCGGTTCGGAAATGTTCGCGCTCACGATCTACGATAAGATCATGTAAACAACAAAATTCATATGATCACACAGCATGTGTTTGTGTGTGCGTACGCGAGCGAGACTCTCCTATCCGCGTTCATAATTCATATCAATTTACATGCTTTGCGATTTGTATACGCTGTCGACATTTTATCTATTAGGCTTTGGATTTTTCGCCCATTTGCCTTTTTTCGCTCATTGTTCAGCATTTTGTGCTCGCGCGAACGGGTGTGTACGATCAAATCGATTGTTGATGTTTTTCTGCGCTCGCTTCGATGCATGCATACACAACACGGTTTTGAAAAATAAAAAACAAAAACAAAAAAGATAGATAGAGAGGGATAGAGAGAGAGCCATAATTACATGCTTCTATGATGTGCCATTGCGCACACATCAATAGATGACTGTACTACACAGCACAGCTTCATAGGCGAGTTTGATACCTTTAGCACCAGCATGATATATCATATGCGCACCGAGTAGCTAGTGCAAACGTCGTAATGTGTCGAAAGCAAAACAAAACAGCAGCCAATCGACATTCGCACATTGTATAAAACAAAAAAAAATAAAAAAAATAACAAATATAAAAAGTAAAACACAACAACAACCATATTTTTTTATTGCACGAATGGGCGAGAGAGCAAGAGAGAGAGCGAGAGAGAGAGCGAGAGAGAGAGTAGTAAAAATCATCTAGCGCAGAAAAATCACTGCGTGCCTTCGCTTTTCCTCTACGTGTTGTTTATGCGCGCGAATAAGCGAGCGCATTCACAACCTAAACAAAGCATCGGGCGAACCAAGCACTTTTCTTCTTTTTTTTCCTCTTCGTTTCTCTAATACTTGTAGCTTTTTGTCGATTTTATTTATTTGCCTATAAATTGTACTGTTGATTGTTTTGTGTGTGCGCGCTAGGTCGGACGCGCGCACCAGAGCGATATATGCAATTTATGTGATTCCGTATGTGTGTGTGTAAGAGAGTTAGTTAGTTTGCGTCTTTCTTTCGCGCTATGTGCGCGCGGCGTGTGTTGTTTTTTTCGGGTCGAATTTGAAGTGAAGTGAATGAGCGGATATTTAACCATGGTGACTAAAGAGTTCATTCACTCATTGCATTTCTATGGCCTACTTTTTTCAGTTTTGCTCACATTAGGTTAGGTACTACACGTAGAGTACAATAATATATTACGTACAATCCGACAACGTTATTGTTGATTACATTTCACGTAGCACGTTTGGATTGTTTTCTTCTCTTTCTGCTTTGGCAGCATTTTAATTTATCTCTGTTGTGTTGAATGACGTATGCCACCACCAAATCGGAATTGAAAGTTATTTTGATTTATGTGTGATGTTAATGTTTGCTTATTCTCCTGTATTGCAGGGCGACGACCACGAATTGGTGCTGCTGCTGCTGCTGCTGCGGCGGCGAAAGGTCAACTTAAGGTAACCACTGCTATTGGGAAGAAAGAGTGCAAACAATTGCGAAAGATGGCAACGAATGGTACGAGTGACTTGGCCATTGTGGAACGAACACGAAATCTACGGAAATCACTGCACAAAATACAAAAACAATTCGATAATCAAGCAATTACAAAATTCTTTCAACGCACACTCAAAGCACACTCGTACCCACGATTTGGTAGCGATGATGAGAATGCATGCGATGCATTCACCGCAGATCAATTGAACAATTTGAGTGATAGCGGCGGCGACGGTGGCGACGACGTTGGTAACAATAATGAATTGACAAAAAGTGATGACGACGAACAGGAATTTGCAACTCTAAATGCCAACGCAAACGATGCGAATATCTTGAACGGGGATGATATGAAAAATGACGAAGCTTTGAATTTGTGCTTGATCAACGGTGATCGCAACAGCACCGACGAAAATAGCAATGGCAACATTACCAGTATCAGTATTCAACCGACAAATATCTTTTTACAAAAGCCCGTGCTCCATTTGAACATTGACAAATCACAAATTCAAGCATCATCGATTGTCATCAACAAGCATTTAGATGCATGCCCAAATTTTGCAACATCATTTACCGTATTCAATAACTCCTCTGTGCTAAACACTGCCAATAATAATAATATTCAAAGTAAATCGTCGGAGGATGAATCCAGTGCGGAACAGAATGATATGCATGCACCAAACGACGCGATGGCAAACAATGATCAAAAGACAAAATGTGAAAAACCAAGACTTCGAAAGCGACGACCACGCAAATGTGCAAGTCGATGGGCCAACGAAAATGGGCCAATTGATGTAATTCACGATTCAGATAGCAATTCTTGTGATAGTGGCGTGGTTAGCGACCGATCATTCGAACTCAGCTCCACGGATGGCAATAAACCGACGACACCGCATCGCATTGTGTGCCCGTCTATATCGACGCCAACACATGAAGACAGCCCAAAAGTTTTACCACAACCAAATTTGGCCCGGACCAATGCAATCAAACGGCCAACAGTCAAACGAGCCAGAGGAAAACTAGAACAGAAAGGGTAAGTGTCCTGAAAAAAATCTATCTCCTTGACAAATTTTTACTTGAATTTAATCATTTTCAATTGAACAACAAAAACTGATCTTGATTTTATCCCGTTCGAAAATCTTGTTATATTTATAACATTTTTTGTTGTGTTTTCCAGCCAAACGGTCAATAACGCCAAATCCTACTTCACAAAACTCACCGCTGTGGCCGATGCTCAAGCAAAAACTACCAACGCTACCGCACCCGATGATAATACAAAGGCTGACAAATCGAAAAATGACGTTGATTGCGAAATGTCTGCATTAAATATTGAGTCGAATGTTGACCAAATTGTATCGCAAATTGTGAAATGTGCAACACCAAAACCGATATCACGATCGTCAACCCCATTGCAAAAACCAATGCAATCGAAACAAATGACTGATTTCTTTCCGGTGCGACGTAGCATTCGCAAAACGAAAAAGGTCGTTGAATTAGAGCACTTGAGATATATTGAAAAGGCCATCGAACAGCAATGTGAAGACGGTCTAGTTGTGAAGTACTTCAAGGAAAAGGGTCGTGGAATTTGCGCTGGACGCCCGTTTGCACGTGGCGAATTCGTCATTGAGTATATTGGCGATCTGATTGACCAAATTGAAGCCGATCGGCGTGAGGAGATTTATGCTAAAGACGTGGCCTTTGGGTGCTATATGTATTATTTTAAACACAAAGAACAACAGTGGTGGTGAGTGTCGAATTCGATTGGAATTGAATTTTTTCCTTCGAATTTTTGTTTTCCTTTTGCTCTTTTTATTGATTTTTTCGGGAATAGAAACAAAGTTTAATTTTTTCAAAATAAAAATCTAATCAATACCCTTTGTGTCATCTTTCAGTATTGATGCAACAGCCGAAACGGGCAAATTGGGTCGTCTTGTAAACCACTCGCGCAATGGTAATCTTGTGACAAAGATTGTAACGTATAAAAATCGGCCGCATTTGGTATTGATTGCCAAGGAAAATATCAAAGAGGGTGAGGAGCTGACATATGACTACGGTGACCGTACACGTGAATCGCTCGTTAATCACCCTTGGCTCGCTCTGTAAAGCGAGGAACAAAAAACCAACGCATTAGAATATATGTAAATGCCGCTCGAACGTGGTGATGTCAACGACACATACACACACACACACATACGTACAACAAACATTCTCAATGCAACAAAAAGAAGAAGTTGAAGCGGAAAAAGAAATATCTTATTGAAGAAAAAAAACAACTCGAAAGTGTTCCTATAAACTATTTATGAGTCACGAGATCATTCGACGAAAGGCTTACAAATTTTATTCATGAATCATGTTAACTTTAGACATTTTGTAGTAATTTAGTCAATTGTATATTTAGGCATTTCATTTTTTTTTAAATCCAGATTAGAGAGCAAAAGAACTATTGGAAATTTTGGAAAAGATTTTTTTTTTTACTTTCCGTTATTGTTTCAAATGCCAAAACAACAAAAATCTTATTATTTTTTTGGAGAAATTTCAATGGGTTGATTGAGATCAAAAGGGTGAAAAACGATTTGGCAAAACAAAATCAAAATTCTATTTTACAATTAGTATTCTTTCCCTTTTCTTTCATTCACCATTTTTTTTAGTTAAATGGAATAACTTTCAATTGTACCAACTTAGACAAATTAGCTATACTTCAGAGCGGTCAACGAGCGCTCGTTCGTTCGTTCGTATGCGAACATGTTCGTTCGTTCGTTCGTTCGTTCGTTCGTTCGTAGAATCTGCGAACATGTTCGTTTGTTCGTTCGTTCGTTCGTAGGTAAAATTTCATTTTTTTTTCAAACATAAAATTTTCTTATTTCTTAAAAAAATATAGGAATGATCCTATGTACTCAATAATACTGTAAGCACTATAATACTGTAATTTTCAAGTTGTGAACATTATTTTCGCACAAAAAATTGAACGAATATTTTTTTGAGTTTCCACTTGCACAATTGGATGCATAATAATGCAATAAGCAATAATAATGCTGGTTTCAAATGTTGTGAAACGAAGAAAGTGATGCATACGGAGAGAGAGAGATAGAAAAAAGTGACAAAGACAGTGTTCATCTCTTTTTGCCAAGTATGGTGTGCACATTTCAGATTCGTCTTGTTGCTGTGATATCATGAAGCACGTTGTCGCTCGAACTGTGTGTGTTGTACGATCACAGAACAAAACATTGTCTAAACGTATAACTGTTTTGCACGTGGCGATTTAACACAGTGCGTAAAACACACACTGTTTGAACGTCCATGTGATTTAAATCATCACTGCAACAAGTCTCTCTGAATTGCACACCATAAATGACAAAAAGAGATGAACTTTGCTATCTTTGTCATTTTTATCTCTCTCACTCTCTCTCTGTACTTACTTTCATCATTTTACAACTTCCACGTTCATGTCCAGCTAATTATCATATCATTCTATTCTCGCCAGCGGACACACAAACCACAATGAGTGAAAGTAAGATTTTCAGCGATGTTTTTTGTTGAGTGAAGATGTTTTTAATTAGTTTTATGCATTCAATTGTGCAAGTGGAAACTCAAAAAAATATTCGTTCAATTTTTTGTGCGAAAATAATGTTCACAACTTGAAAATTACAGTATTATAGTGCTTACAGTATTATTGAGTACATAGGATCATTCCTATATTTTTTTAAGAAATAAGAAAATTTTATGTTTGAAAAAAAAAATGAAATTTTACCTACGAACGAACGAACGAACGAACGAACATGTTCGTAGATTCTACGAACGAACGAACGAACATGTTCGCGTACGAACGAACGAACGAGCGCTCGTTGACCGCTCTGCTATACTTCTAACTTATTATTATTTTTTTTTGTCGTTATTGTTCGATTCACGAATTACGACACGATTCGATGTTTGTCGGTGTCGACGATTCGCAAAATCACACACACACCCACATACACGTTTACTCAATCGTAGTAAAATGCTTAATTTATTTAATGATATTTAATCACCGGTCGTTACACAGAGTGATTTATATAGAAGAAAAAAAAATCGGAATAAGCGCGAATGTTGTCATTTACAACAACCCTCCCAAATCATTCAAAAGTATTTATATATTCGAAGAGATGAGAAAAAACCGGGATGGCGCGTATTCGGTGCGCAATTTATCATCATTATATGTATATTTTAAAATGAATAAATGAAGAATGTGAATGAGACAGTATAATAATAGTAAACGAATGCGCGCGAGAGATCATTGCACTTATTTCTATGTTAATTTATCTCAACTTGCATATTTAATTTTTCTGTTCTTGGCTTACAAATGCAAAACTTATACAAACTACACGCGTACTTCAATTCATATGACAACAAAATTTAGACGAACTATTAGAGTATCACAATTTTTTTTTTGCAAATTGGCTTCTTATTTTCCATGGAATAGAATTTTATTTTCATTGGATATCGAAATTGAAAAGATGAACTAGAAGTTTTTATATATAAAAAAAAATAAATGTTTAATCATAAGACGCATACAATATTTTGATGAGCGAATCCCGTTATACCCCAAAAATAGAGAAAATACAAATTTGGAATGAATTATTTAATAAAAAACAACGGTGCGTTTTATTTTCTCTTGATTTGAACAAATGTTGAACCAATTACCTTTTCAACACTTGTTTCTGTTCAAACAGTTTGAACCTTTTTTTGGATTATTTTTGTATTAATAATAATATATCGTTGACGTTCGTCTGTTCAAACAACTTGTTGAAAACATCGCACAATCTCCGCAGAAATCATATGAGAGAGAGAGAGAGAGAGAGAGAGAGAGAGAGAGAGAGAGAAACATCGCACTGTCAAAACCTAACCTCACTCTTTTGAGAGTACACGTTTGACATGAGTTTTGTTTACATTCAACTTGCGGTAGATGGTAAAGAGAGCTTCAATGGCAAAGGACGTAAAATTACGAGTTTTGGAACTGTTCAGTGGGATTGGTGGTATGCACTACGCTTTGGAAGGTACTTCATTGAATCAAAATTGGTAGACCATATATATGCATATAGTCATAAATGATAATTATCTTCAATTTCCATTCAAAATTTCTGTCTTCAATCAAAATCTAATCACCTTCTCTCGAAATTTCAGCCAGCGGTATTCCAGGTGAAGTTCATGCTGCGGTTGACATAAATACAACTGCAAATCGCGTCTATCAGCATAATCACCCTGAGACAAAAGTCTTAAACAACAATATCCAAAAGTTTACGCCAAAAGAAATTCTGAAAATGAATGTGAATACAATTTTGATGTCGCCACCGTGTCAACCCTTTACTCGTGTCGGAAATAAGAAAGATGTGGACGATGCACGTTCGAATGCTTTAGTGCATATTTGCGGTATTCTTCCCGAATTGACCACCATCGACTTTATTCTCATGGAAAATGTGAAAGGATTTGAAACGTCGCAGGCACGTGATCTGTACATAGAAGCTTTGAAGCAATCTGGCTTTGAATATCAAGAGTTTTTATTGAGTCCAACCGAAATTGGTGTTCCTAATACACGTTACCGATACTACTGTTTAGCGCGGCGAAAACTATTTTCATTTAAAACTGAATCGATTATGGAACGATTACCGAATAGAGTTGATGAATTTGAATGCCCAACCATATCATCGGTTTTGCCTAGTGTTGATGAAGATAACAAAGAGTATTTACTATCAGACAATCTTCTTTCGAAACGGGCCCGGCTCTTGGATATCACATACTCAAATTCAACGAATACAAAGTGTTTCACCAAAGCCTACACTCATTATGCAGAAGGCACTGGTTCGATTCACTGTCCGGTGAGCAGAAAACAATTAGATGACGTGTTTGCCGATATTCAAAGTGACTCTCTATCGCCAGAAGAAAAATTAGCAAATTTGAAAACCCTGAAATTGAGGTATTTTACACCAGCTGAGGTTGCAAAACTCATGAGTTTTCCAGATAAATTCACATTTCCACAAGAAACGACAAACAAACAACGATATCGAGTATTAGGTAATAGCATCAATGTGGCGGTTGTTGGGAAATTAATTGAAGTTTTATGCAAAGATTGATGTGAAGTTTTGTTGAAATAAAAATAAAAAACTTTTTAAAATGCTGATTGTTTCTATCGATTTTCTTTTTCTCATGAGTTTCTACCTCCGTTGTGAAATTCGATTTCACGGCATATAATATTCGCAGCATTCTATATGACTGGAATCGAACTGTTTATTTTCCCATCAGCTTATAAGCATTCGGCAATTTTTCTAATAAATCTAAATGAAGAGTATCGAAGTCTTTTTTTGAAATTTTAAATATTTTTTTCACTTTGCATCATTTTTCAGGCATCCCAATATGTTTTGAAATCAAAACTACTAGGTAACTCCATTTCAATGGAGACGGCAAATTAATTTTGAACTTCAAACGGACAAATCGAATTTGAATTTTGTGAAAAGCTGCAGGAGAAATTGATTGCACAAAGGAGCTTTGGAAAATACGGAGAATATTTTATGAAAAGGAGAAATGTTCAACGAATTTTATGAAGATGGATGGAATTTCATTGTTTTGATAGCAGATGCCAAAACAAAACAAAACATTTTTTTGCTTTTCTTTTATTTCCATTCGAATAAACGTATATAATGCTCACGCCATGAGTCTCACCAATTACATTGATCAATTTTCGAAACAACTGAATTACTCTTAATTCCTGGAAAACCCAGCATAATTTGATTCATCTCAATGCAGATGACTTAAAGCATTACAAAGTAGAAAACTTGTCGTCTTTTAAATAGTAACAAAATGCTTGAATGAAAACAAGCAATAAAATCCTTTTCTGAATGAAGTTTCAAATGAGAAAGGATAATGGCTTAAAAATAAACCGAAAAATTTATGGAACTCAAGCGAGAGTGGATATCATTGAGAAATTGTGTGATTTGAATTTGATGAGGTTGTTAAAATCCTTTCACCGTGAATGAAGGCGACAATTCCATTGTTAAACTCGTTTTTCAAAGGTTCTTAGGTTTTCTTCGGAGGTCTTAATGTGTTTTTAACAGCAATAAAGGGACGTTTCCAACTCCACGCAAACAATGGCTAAAAATCAAACTATTGATCGGTTTGATTCGTGGCCATGAATTAAATAATGGTCTTATTTCATTCGTTCACGCGATGCGGGAATTGTCTTGTGCTTACAATTAAATGTTATTCGATAAAAATTATCGAAAGGTGTTTTCATTGACTTTCACCCTCAATTTGACTAAACAAGAGATTTCTTGCCTGATTTTCACCGTCTCGGAATACAATAACGGAGGAAGAAATCGGCTTTCTTTTCATTCTTCGACCGACAAAATTAAGATAACATTTCGATTTTCTTTTCTTTGTCGTTTTATCTTTATTACTTAGTTACTTCTCTTTTTTTCTCTTCCTACTTTGGTCTGACACAATTTTATTCCAGCCCAGACTGCTGTGATCGTCATAATTTATCGCACACACACACACACACACACACACACGCGCGCATCCTAGATGAAGACAAAAATAGAAGCGAATAGAAATTATCACAACGGATTATCGTGTACAGCGTCAAAGAAAACTGTTGTCATATTGTTTGATGCATGCGACAATGGTCTGAGTGTAGGCTAAATATCAATAATGGATTGAAAACGGTAAACAAAAGCGCAGCAAAGAGAGAAAAAAAACTGTCGGATGGTCGATCAGCATGACGTAAGAATTGTCTACGATGTACAGAGATAAACTACTGAACGAGAAAGAGAAACAAAGAGAAAAAGTCATGCCGAGCGACTTGTCGTCGGTTCACCATTTAAGTTGTATAAAAATGGTTTTGCACCGCATGGCAAAAGGAATCTCTCGCTTGGGTTTCTGTTTTTGAATCGATCCGCGCGCATCACGCAACTGCTAGCCCACGCTTGAATGTCAGATGGTTGGATTCGATTGATAAAAACAACAACACAGATGACACAAGAATGTAATTAGATTCACCTCTTTCAAAGAATCCGCAACTCTTTGATTCGATGTCAAAGTCGCCATTTATTACCGAAATTACAATCTGAAAATTGGTTTAAGTAGGATTTAATTTGTTTTGTGTTCACTTGATGCCGATGGAAAAAACCGAGCAACGGTATCGGTCGCATATTGCACAGTGCGCACTCAATGTTGTGTGTAAAACACGCCGCCAACAACACGGGAAATCCATAAAAATGTCGTGTGATTTACGGTTGAGAAACCTAATATTGTTCATATTTAACCCTAAATTATGGCCAATTTCAAGGTTCACAAAGTACACACACATACCACTTTTCGATAGCATTTCGTCGTCATCGTCGTCCTTACCGTATGAAGCAGGTAAGGAACAACATGATAAACAAATAAACATATTCCCCGCTCTAATGAGATCATAGGCGGATGTGAAAAGCGTGAAGAACACTACATTAGCACATAGTCGGTATGGAATTTTCTGCACCCAAACCACCAAGCATAGACTACTTCAATTTTATTATATGAAATTAGATATGACGGTAACGCACTTACAAAAAAAAAGGGTTTGATATACCAATAAGGTAATCGTATCTGTTTGGGTAACCCTTTTTCATTCACCGATTTACCATTTTCGTGTGTGTGTGTGTGTACGTGTTTTCTGAAGACAGACCAAAGCGCGGTGGCACAACGAAAGAAATAACCATAAAAAGAAACTCCCATAGGTTTGCCAAATCGTTAACCAAATATCCCATCGTTGTTGTTTTTTTTCTGGATAAAATGCATCCTTAGAAATGGTTTTTTTTTTCAACTGTATCTCAACTTTCATTGAATCTGTTTTCATCAGATAGTTTAGTATTTCATTAAATGACAACAAGTAAATAGAGGTAAGAACCCATCGAAATTAATCGTACACTTTGGGGGTAAGGTGAAGTTCGTGAGACTCTCGGTAGCTAGACAACGGTATCAATTTAATTGTCGTGAAAATGCCTCAATTTATTTGATTAAATGTAGAGGCGAAATCTTGACGTCGTCCTTTTTTTGCTGCCATCACTGTGGATCAGTACTGTGAATGGCCTTTTTTGCTTTTGCAGTTTATCGCATTTTGAAGTACCCGAACAAAAACGGAATTTCAAGAGTGAAAAGGTATTTCATTCAAAATTTCGGCCCAAGTGGTCATTTGATATTCGACCGAACGCTCTGAATTGAAACGCACACACACATTCTCAATCGGATCCATAAAGCACCGATTTTTTTTGTCCATTGAATACACACATTTCATTTTATTGATTCGATAAATCCGAGCTGATTATCAAACTGGTCACACAATTGCCCCAACCGGCATTAACATCGCATTGGCAATGCGCTTTAGATTCGCTTTAGATTATGAGCGCCGACTTGTCAAATAGGATTATTTTTCGATGTCATACGATTTGGTATTAATTTACGGTGTTTCATTGCGTTCTCTGTAATTTTCGTTTCCGCACCGTTCTTGTACGCTTTTCTTTTCTATTTAAAACGATTTAATTCATTCATTCATTTCTAATTGATCCAATTTTTTGTCATTAAATCTGTTCGACACAAAAAAAGCAACAAAAACAACAACAACGGTCGGCCAATCGTTAGTTTTATTGTAGGTGTTCACTAACATGCTGGATCAAATTCAATCATTGTGATCGGATCCATATGCCGTATGCGTCCATCTAATATTCCTCTTTGCACCGTATTACGCATTTTAGCAAAACGAATGTGCTTGAGCTGTGCAGCAGCAACAACAAAAAACGTCTCGTCTCTTTTCATTGCGTTTTTTATTTCAATTGATTTTGATTCAATGGACAGTTGAGAATTGTTGTGAATTGGCTTCAAATAACACACGTGAGTCTCTTGCGAAATCAATTTCTTTGTCGGGCTTGTAATGTGAGCGACAGTTTATGTAGTAAATAACCCAAACTAAAATCTAGAGAGAAAAAAATGGGTAAAAAATGGCAAATGTAAAAGGAAAACCTGCAGAAAAAAAAACACAACATACGGATCGCTGGTCAGAGATTAGTTTTGTTTTTGACACGCTGTTAACAGCTACCGACATGAACATGATATGGAAGTTGATTCGATCGGAAGAGCGCAAATGAAGCGAAAGGAGGAATGCTTTGTTTGTGCAACAAAAAAAAAAACATGAACGCCCGTTTAACTAAAAGCCGATTGAGTATCGATTAACCTTTATCATTCAGAACGGATCTAAATTCCAAACCTCATTGATATCTGATACACACGGATTTTCTTGAAGAAAAACACAAATTACACATAAGAACAATGAATCGTTTCTTTCTTCCTATTTATTGAATTGTGCCAAACGGAGGGAGAAGAAGAAAAAATTAAGCAATCGCAACCATTTTGGCCATATGCTAAGATCGAGTATCCGTTTTTAATCTATTGTTTGTGCTAAAATGTTTGGAAAATTGGAATTCTCAAGAAAAATGAGATCGATGCGTCAAGAGGAGAAGGCGGAAAACGATTAAAGTAAACCGTCTTAGTTATTTTTTTTTCTTTTCTTCTCAACAGTTGTCAACCAAATTAGAGGCCGAAGAGTGAAAAAAGAACGCACAGGATATGTGTGGAGAGCACACAAAAACCATATCAAATAATCCATCCGCATAAGCAAATTATTCTGAGCGAGAAAAGAAGCAAAAAAAAACCGCGCTCATAAATCTCACTTAGTTGTTAAAAGTATGCGAACTTGATGATTGTTCCGTGTTAAATTTAAATATGAATTCAATGTTTGTTTGACTTGAAAACCGGCCAAATGAATAGCAGCGTTGGGCTGTTTGCACTGAAGAGTCCATGTGGCCACAAGACTATACAAATTTGTCAAACCAAAAATACCGGCACTTCCGTTGCTGCTGCATCGTCGTCGCCTTTGTCTGCTGTATCGTTTTGCTTGGTATTTAACAACCATCGTCTTTTGCATGACAAGACCAATCTCTTTCATCAAAATATGGCCCAAAGTCACGTCTAATAGCCCCTTTTATCGTCTCACCCGAGATTGAATGAAGCGGAGAGAAAGAGAGAGAGCGAGAGAGAGAGAGAGAAGCGGCCGTAAGTAGTTTCAATTGAAAAGTAAACCAGTTG